TTTCTTTTGATAATTAGGATATGACTGTGTATAAGAATAGTTTTTGGTTTCCTTGTATTTGCAGTTATATTGGTATGATTATTGTGAGAAAAAGCTTTTTGTTATTAACTATATTATTATCAGAATAGCTATTTCGGATGTGTCATTCCCGATTTTGATGGTGCTGGCAATTAATAGATGCTTTTCTACTAATTGGACAATACATTAAAAGTAGCTTCCTTGCAGATAGATTGTCCACCTGACAAGTCAAGTGTATCTTTGTTCTGGACTACTCGCACATCGTATCTAACATCTCGCATTAAACTGAAAACTCGGAGAACTCTCTCTATTAAACGCGTATCGCCTTCTCACCGTGATAAATTCGGTAAACTATTAAACTTAACTATCATTAAATCAGAGCTTATCTGTATTAATAAGTAGACAATCTCGACAATGCATGTAGAAGAGAATTGGATTTGTAATGTCAATTACCGACAGCACTTCATTTGATTGACTGAAGCGAGTAACAAAATATATGCTTCAAAAACAGATTGATTTAAATAAAGGCGTATTGGCACGTAATGTTTTTAAAATAAGTGTTATGATAAACAGCTTTCTAAAATAAGAAGTACAAATTAAAAACCTTTCTTTTCTTTACTACTGAAACCTTCTTTAAAACAGGAATATAAACCATATTATGCTGGCTAAAAATAAATGCAGTAATACAAACAATACCGTCTATTTGACATGAAAATAAAATTAAAGACAGTTTGCTGAATGAAAAAGAGATTCACGGTTCAATGCAAAAAGTCCCTAAAATTCTATTTGGAAAGTTCGTTAAACAATACAAGAAGGAATACCAAGGGGAAAAAATAATATACATTTTCCTGCGCAAATCCTGATTCATTTTTATAACATTAAAAATCTAAAATAAGTAAATAAATAAACATTTTAATGAAAGAGGAAACAGAAGGAATTTAAAATAGTTAAAAGAAAACAGTAAGAAGAAGCATATAAATATATCTCTCTCTATCTGACTCTTATCATGTAAAGTTTATTTAACAGAACATATTAATTTTATGTTAATACGTTCCTTCTATTACTATTTATTCCGTCAACTTAATCAGAATGAAAATTAGATGGCATTCATATAACGTGCAAAGGTGTAGAATATTCCGTAAGCAGAGATGGATAAATTTTGTTAAGTTTTAGTTGTGCATGCAAGTTATACCGTTTGTAAACGTTTTGTTTAATCTCATTTTTGTGTTTCTTAAAGTTTTAGACATCGCGTGATTTCGGATATAACGTTTAAAATAATTACGTTTACGGATTACGAATATTACATTTAAATAGAAATGAGTTGATATCAGAAGAACGCACCTGCCAGAAAATTCAAGTTATTACGAAAAAACATCTTAGAATTAATAAAACGTAAACTTATTAAGGAGAAAGTAAAGCGGAGCGATGAATAAAGAGTGAAAACGCAGTTAAACAGCCTTTTTAATTGTGATTGCATTAAGGTAGTGGTTAAAGCTCAAAATGTTCATTCCATTAAATCCAGGCTACAAAATATCTATCAAACATCTTCTATAAAAATAATTATACAGGAAGTAGAAATATCGTGCCTAAATGACAGCTAAAAATTTCGAAAACATTTTAATCGGGAACACTTTTATAAAATATATATGTACTCTGATTTTGATTTATACATACATAACACAAGCAGTCTAAATATTTATTTACATAGTAGGCATTGCATTTTATTTCACTTATATTTTATTTGTTACTTTCTATTTACACAATTTATAACTGAAATGTATATAAATCATTAATAGATTTTAATGATTATGGCAGAGGAATTCAAACATGACACGTAAGAATGGGAGGATTGAAAATGTGGAATGGATACATATTTGACAAACATTCTCATTAATCGAAGTAATTCTCTCCGCGCTGTAATGTATCTTTTCCTTTGTGGCCTCTCTTTAAAGGATAATATTTAATAGGGTACATATCTACTATCGAACGGCTGTGAAGAGCTTGCGAGAAAACGGATGCTGGGTTAAGACAGGAATAAACAATGGCATAATTGCTCCCATTGTTCACTAAGCCTGGTCAAAACTGGTAACTTAATATCATTCCTCCCCCTACAAACTTAAGTGTTATCTTTTGTTTTATGGTTAGAGATATTTGCTTGCTCGTCACTTTCAGAGGTTCCACAGCCTAACAGCGGAAGCGGGGTAAAGTCGTTGAATTCAGGTATTTCGGTCTGAGGGTCGAATCCCGCGAACGGGCTAACTACATGGGCGTTTTCATGATTTTCCCCCATGTGTAAAGTTCCTCCCTTTAGGCAGATTGCCCTCTAAGCTTTCCCGTAATCACATAAACCAAAGCAAACGAGAGATGTCACATGTGACTCCCAAGATTGAGCTTTCGCTACTTTGTAGGTATTACATATCAGTCGAATAATCCAATGTCACTTACTGCGCTACTGGAATGATCATGTGAAAAATTCGACAAATGAGGATTTATATGTAAATGCCTTTCTATCAACATAAAGGATTATTCGGAATTTCTGAGAAACATCTTTACAAGTTCTTAGCAAATAAATTACTCGAATGATACGAAATTTTATTAAACTGAAACGGATAAAAACTTACCAACCTGTTTCAGTTACTTCACAAATCCTTAGCGTGATTACCTTTCCTGGGACGACATAATCTGTGGAATAATTCGTTTCATCACCATCTACCATAGCTACAGCATAGTCGATGCCATTACTAGGATTCTGGAGATTACAAGGACTGAAGGAAAATGACAGTTTCTTTGACAAATTCCCACTAAAAATTTCTCATGGACTTGATTACTAAGGGACTGTCGACTTGCCGTGTGTTTACTATTCAGTTTCGGGATAAATTTTGATTGAGATATTCTGTAGACCATGTGTAAGAGTCAGGCAGCTATCTCTTTGAAAGAGGTTGTAAAGTATTTATGTTAATTAATCAGCTATTTTATATTCTTAAACTGTGCTGTTACTTCTGTCTTTCTGTTCTTCTGCCAGAATGAAAATTAGTTCGCATGTATTTAAGTGAGTGTCTGAGATTGTGTAGACAGAGCGTGGTCTGCCTGCTGAAGGCCACGTTACTAGTTTTCCATTCTAAGATAAGCATCTCTATCTTCAACGTTGCTTTATTTTTATGGATAAGTGCTGTTATGGTGTAAACTTAAGAGTCAACACCCGCTTTTAAATTTCTCTACGTAGCGTTCGGCTAATAAATACATGGATTTAGTTTTAATTAAAAGAAATTACTTTTTGAGTTCTTGCATAATTGTTGGCTGATTTGTAAGGTTTTATTAAATAGAAGGGTCTTTTACACCTTTCTTAAAGGTAATCACTACTATCTTTAAACATTGTTGCGTCAGCTACAACGTTAACTAACTACCTCCATTAGAGTGAAATAAAATAAAATTTTAGTATTATTAGTGTGAATTTTTAAAATGCTTCATCGAATTATTTATAATATTGGATCATTTGGATTTTGGCAAAACACACAAGGACTGCCTACGTAAGGAGAGGTAGACGTTTGCGGAGGACGTTTTAAGGGAGATTGGTTCGTATTCACCTTACAAATTACATAAACAATTTATAGAGTTATAAATAATCCTGCATAATTATCAGTTCGATCTCTTGTATCCGGATAATAATTCCTGGAACTCACGAGGCTTCGTAGTTTTAAATTTTATGGTTAGTTTGGTCTGTCTATTTATGGCAAAGTATTCGTTGGCTATCTGTGTAATTGGAGGGATACCGTAATGGAAGCTAGCTCTTACGCATAGGGAAAATCGCGAAAACGCCCATACAGTCAGCCCCCGTTCGCCTGGATTCGAACCTACCAGTGTTCAGCGACTTTTACCGCTAGACCGTTGGTGAGCTTTTAAACTTTGAGTAGGAGACATACATGATCCAGACAAACGCAGAAATGTATTTGTGATCAAAACTTTAGTCACACGAGCTCGAAATCAAAAATCTTGAAATCCCAAAATCTGGGAATTTGGAAATTTATATGTGACTCTAGATTTACATGAATGTCCAATGTTTTGCTATGGTAACAAAATTTTTGGCTATCGCATGCTTTGTATGACATAATAATTTTGTGCTGTCATGTGTTTTGCTATAAAATAATAATTTTAAGTCTTTAAATTATGATTTTCTAATGATGCATTTAAGTCTGAGAATCACTGTACAAATCATTGCTCCTTTGCTCAGGCTTTGTAACCTGAAAAATCATTATCTCAGATAAAAGCTTATTTACTGTAAAAATTTAGGCTTTTTTAAAAGATGTTACATGCACGATTTCTTCATTTGATGCAAACATTATTTTTTGTTCATTAAACAAAAACTCATCTTATTCAATGGAACACCGAGCGCCTTTTAGGCACGAGTATATTTCTTGGAGTTGCCAACGTTACAACCAGAGAATATCGTTTTTATGAAGTCTGACCTTTGTAACTTAAGTAAATTTTACGTTTTTAAATACGCAAAATTCGATATTTTAACTTAAATAATTTTTTTTCTTTTTATTATGAAAGCAACAAAACAAACAAAACTATTCTTAGTTACTATAATAAAAATATTTCCTAATCTATGACTATTTAAACCCTACATAAATAAATAACCCAGGAAGAATTACAATTAGATTTTTATTTTAACTGTCTCCATTCATTCTAAGACACTGCTCAGTACAATTCTCAAAATCTCTTCAAAAATCTAAATGCATTAAAAATACAGCCAGTAGGATAATTCCGTTGATTCTCAAAAAGAATAATTTAAATTTATGCCAAACTTAAAACGCTCTGATAAAGATCAAAAGAGAAAGAGCAATGCAAGTACTAAGCGTGTGAATGAAAATTTCGGAGTGTAACGGGAGTCGAAGATAAAAAACGAATAATAAAAAGATATAGTTAAAAAAGTCTTCTCTCTCATCAAGACGTACAATAAAATCCCAGTTCTTCACTTACAGCATCTGACGTCACCAGTTGGTCGTCTGTTGGGTGAGTGGGTATAGCGCCACCTCTCTGAGCTCCTGGGTCAGTCTACATCGCTTGCACGACCGGGATGTATCTCTACCGCCTGTTGATGCACGTGATCCCCATCCTCACGGCCCTGCGGCACGTGACGGCAGATGAGACGGCAAGGGCAGTGTCCAGTGCAGGGTAAGTAGAAGTTTTTTTAATTTTATTTTTAGAATTTTAGAACACTTAGGAAGCTGTTCTAGTGCAAGTGGTGTCATTTCTCCTATCGTATGTTAAGAAAGTACTGCGTGAATGCTCTTAACTAAATGTTCAACAAGTGTTTTCAAGTGGATTTGTTGAATTCTTTGCATTATTTGATCCTTGAATTACGCTGTTGCATTTTGTGTAGAGTAGATTTTGGTAAATTATTTTGAGAAAACAGTTTTGGAGTTTTCTTTTGCCGACAGGTTCTGGAAAATCTTGAAAAAAGTTACGGAAGTATCGAAAAAATTTCGAAATATTTGCGTATGTCTTGAGTGCATAAGATATATTTAAACACGTAAATACTGATGAATTTTAACACTTAGAACAGATTCTGAAATTTATCGAACTAAATATATGTTTTGAAAAAGTTTACATTAGTTGTGTTTTAACTTTGCGACGTCTCGCATTCAACACTGGAGCAGATGCCTCAATTACTTTATTTTCGTCATGGTTCTTTTACTAGTTCTTAATTTAAAAAATACATATGCCTGTTATAAAACTTCCATTTCTTATGTCTTATTTTATCACTACATTTAGTTATACAGTGTTTGGTAACATATGAAAATTATATTGATCAACACAAAATTAAAGAATAAATTAAACACATGAATAAAAAACATAAATGCTTCAAACCAAAATATTGTATAACATTTTCAATATCTCTAAACTATGTATATGACTTCTACTCGCTTTTCATAAAGGCGAATACCTCTATAGTGTCATCGAATTATCATTCTTAAGCAATATCACTTCCCGTTGAAAAAAATGCAAGAGATTCGAGTTTCCTTGATTTAAACATGACCTCAAATAAATATTTATCAGTTTCAGCTTAGGAAAACATTTTTGCTGTGGCTATTGATACCAAAATCGACAAAAAAATCCATAAGGCGATCGATACGGGAGGATAAGTATCTCGTAAAGAGTGTAAAAATGTAGAAATCGACTAACAGTCTATGAACAAAATATGTGTTGCTAAGAGACATATAACACGTACAATCCACATTATTTCACTATTTATATTATTCGTAAGGTTTCGGTAAACGGTATTCATTTTATAAGCGGAAAGAGGGAAAAAATATCGTATACTTATCGCTTTAAAAAAAAAAAAAAAGAAGAAGAAATCAATTAGATTTTTGATGTTGCAAGGGGTCAGCGAACTTATCTCCTTATTGTTATCAAGGATGATCTAAATTATTTTTTTTAAATCTAAATTAAGTACGTAGTTTCATTTTAAGACCCAAATTTTTTTAAATAAATATTTGTTTTGGGGGGCAGGAGTATTTGATTCTGAAGTGCAGATAGCCGCCGTTTAGCGAATCATGTTGATCCTGAGATATGTGCCCTATTGTATGAACTTGTATTAGGGGACAAAAGATTAATTCCGAAAATTAATAAAATAACACATGTCATAATATTAATTATAAAAAGAATTAAAAAGATATAGAAAGAGAATAATCAGTATATAGATATAAATAGAGGATAAATATAAATATAAAATTAATATTATATAAATATTAAATGATAATCATAAAAATATTTTTTAAAATATCTTTAACTACTAAGTGACAGTATAAATAAAGTATGCTAATAAAGTTTTAACTTTGATGTATCTTTTATAGCATCTTTGATGTGCATGCTAGTTCCATTTATAAATTTTCTCACTGAATTTCTGACAAAATTTTGAATACTATATTAATATCAAGTAAAGAATTCATCAATTTTTGTCTTGAAATTGTCTGATTTTTCAGACAAGAATAGTGTTTAAAAATAAAAGAATAGTATTTATAAAACACAACTCTTGTTGTTTAACTAAATTTATTCCCCCTTCTGCATGCTTTTTAGGGGGAAATTTTCAATATTATCATCGCGATTAATTTGCCCCAAATTCGGTTCCATTTTCGTAAAAGCATGTTTGGTAGGAGGTAAAATGCGGAGACATTTTATTTTAATTTATATTTTAAAAATATGTGTAAATTTATTTGTCTTCTTCATTCATCTGTTTTATTTTTCTTTTTTATTTCTTCTTTTTTCCCCTCTTTTCTTCCCTTTTTAGCCCAAAGGGGGTTAATCTAGAAGGCTATTAATTTCGTTTTGGCATTTTGCATTGGTTCACTATAAATGTCGGTTCATTTTTCAAATTGTTGCCACCAAATATTAGAACCCTGTATATTTGAAGAAATTAAATAATGAAGAATCTGCATAAATGTGTGTATGTTTCTCGCATTGTAATAAAACAACGGTACATAGAGCCACCAAATCTTGAATAACGTACGTTTCTACCCGAATATGTGCCCAAATTTGGAATTTGTTTTGTTATCTATTTCATATTTTGTAAATCTTTAACGAATGTTTGATTAACAAACTCAAGGATTTCAAAGCGAGCAATGGCAACGCTGTACAGAAATCACTTTTATCTTCAGTACAGGAGACTGTGTATCGGAAATTTTAAAGATATACTCTTTTTAAATTATTTTGTGATATTGCTATTGAATTGAATTTTGGGGTTTAATTGCTAAGGACATGGTATTTAATAAATAAATATAACACACAAAACGTTAAAAAAGCCCCTTTGGGCGTAATATAAAATCTACAGACTTTTTATTTATTTATAGCTTTGAGAATTTTTATGTATTTAGCAACCATATTCGTTTCATTGAGCGAAACCATGATGTATAATGTTTTACTTATATGAAAATTTCTGTATTTGTGCGTAGAAAAGCTCCTCATTCTCATTCTTTCAACCAGTTCTTTATTTGCATTATAGAAAGCTTGTGTTATGTGGGGTTTTGCGGGCTTAGTATGTAATAAGAATATCGTGTTATACTAGTTTAAACAGTTCTCTAACCCTGTATTGAAGGACTATTGTGTAATACGAGAGTTGCTTGCGCTTTATATTATTATCACCCTTTCTGAGCCTCTGCAATTTAGGCACTGTTGGACAAAGGTGCTTTTGAATTTTATGTATGTTTTCCCTAAAGCATTTAAGTACTACAGCTTGGTTTAAAAAACTGCCTGAATTGTATGCTATTTAATCCGATTTGAAGGTGGATTTGTTTTAAACCATGAATCATGTTCTTAATTTCAGTGAATGCGATGAGACTGCGTAATGAAGATTTTCCCTAGCACATAAAGTTTAAATTATTATACATTATTTGAAAATAAATGTTCTTAAAAGCCTATAACATTTTGAAATACAGTGCACATAATTAGGTTTTAGTTTTATTTCTTTGGCTTTAGGCAAAAAACTGCCAAATAATATATATCCCCCCCAAAAGAACCAGAAGAAGGGGTTTATAAAGTCAATATGTGGAAGAAAACTCCATAAATGTTATGCTGACTTTGTAATTTAAAAAAACGCGTTTTGACAGTTTTTGGAAATAATGGGTGAAAAAAGCAGCAGGATTTTAAAGCAGGACCATAAAACTCTTGTCAATTTATATGAATCTAAAATTGTAAGCAAATCTTTTTTTTTTTTTTTTTTTATAAAAGCGATAATGTGTTATACGTAATAATGTTGTGCAGAGGAGACTCATTTTTTTATCACGCAATTAAAATTAATTCATATAAAGAACACTTTGTACGAGCATTTCATTAAACAAACATCGTTTGGTAACACAAACAAATAATTTTTACGAAAAACGTTCTCTTAAGTTTCAGTATAATTAATTAGTTGCGCGGCAGAATGTGCAGCAATTAATGCAGAATTAATTGCTGCACGTAATACATCGCGACAGAATGTGCAGTAGTTAATGCAGAATTCATTGCTGGTAATTATTTAATTCACAATTAAATGTTACTAATTAATTAGGAATTAATTACTGCTAATCAATCAAGGCAAAAATAATGTACAGCAATTAGTGCATTTTAAGGCAGACTGAAGAATTAAAATAAATGACGCTAAAACGGACATAACAGCTGTAAGAAATAAAATAACAGTTACAAGTAAAAAATTATAAATAAAAATCGGGAGGATTATTATTTATAAATTTATTTTATTTGACTTTCAGTATGATCAATATTTTATCATATGGTCTCTAGCCTAGAAAAGCCGCCATGCATTGTAACTAACGGCACACTAGAGGCAGATTATATTACAGAGAAAGCAAATTATTGCTTAGTAATTCAATTCGGTGTATCACAATTGAAAGAAAAACTAAGTTAAAATTTTATTGCCACGAATTGAGGTATCGAGAAATTACCCCTATCAGGTACAACCTGAAAGTTTAGTTCGATAAATCGAAATTTTTACGTGTGAGTGCCTACAAATATTCAGCTATCACTATAGCTTTAAATTCAGAATATACTAATTAGTCTTCTTTCAAACTTCCACTTAACGAATAATCAACTTCAATCAGTAGCGAGGGTACAATCAGTTGTCAATTACATTTAGCTTACAGTACTGTTATTCACGCCTGTTTTCTTTTGTGTTAGCTATTTTACATCTTGTAGAGTGATTTCTTACGCAGATGAAAACAGAAATTGCAGAACAGAGCAAATAAACCGTCAGGAACAAAGACTTAAAAGACTAAAATTACTTCTGGAGCCATTTTATTTCTGCTGGTCTTTTTAACGAATACTATTAAATGTTTTTGTTATACAAAATAATTTTAAACTGAAAAAAATATTACCCGTAATTTAATTATTTTTAATTTAATTACCCGTAATTTGTTTTAAATTAAAAATTTTTTAAACAATACTTTTACCGTTAAAATATTTTCTTTTACAGTTTTGAATGATTATATACCCCAGTTTTTATTACATTTATTAGAGTGTTATCCTTAAGCGTAAATTTTACAATTCATGAATTAGCGTCTGAGAAATTAAATAAAAAGCTAAATTATATTTATAAGTAAAAAACGTTGGAAAAATATAATTTCAATTATATTTCCATTTTCATTTCTCTTTAATAGTTTTCAAAACACATCTTTTTTATATTA